AAGAAATGTCTTGTAACAATAGACACATTGTTGCCAATCTGTGGAGACAGTTTTGTGCAAAACCCATATTTCAATCACTGAAACCTTACTTATTCTTTTCAATTTGTATAGGACTTATATAATGAACATTAAATTTCTCACTGAGTTTCCTTGCCATAATGGCAGGATTTATTGTAAGAGCAGCTTCTAAATAGCCTGAATTGAGTCCATTTGGATTACCTCCCTTAGCTCATCTTCTAGACTAAAATTTCCAGTTTTAAAATGGGAAATCACCTCCTGCAATGTCTTCTACTCAGTACATTGATCCCATAAGTATGTTGCACTTGTTTTAACTTTCTGAATCTCAGAGTACAGAATTTCTAATGAGTTCTTTAGTTGGGATGATCATAGTGGCATATTCTGAATTATATTATGAATATAATCTTATAATATGAAAGAAAAAGATATAGATTATGCACATGAGAATTCCTAAAAAATATAGATAGGCAATACTTTAATGAGTTTTGATCAACATTTTCATCTCAAAAATCTGGTAGAATTTTTGTTCCAACCTTATATAATTACATTAGATGGAACAACCTTCCTGATTATGTTGGATATTTATAGAAAATTAAGTGATTTTATTCTGTAGAATGATTTAAAGATTCTTTGCAAGTGTAGAGTTTTTAGTCATTGCCATTTTCAACATTTAAATTATCTGAATTAACATTGTACTGTTGCAAAGAACAACACTACAACAGATATCTTGTATTGGATAATGAATTTCTGGAAAATTAATTTTCTGATTATAATTTACATTTTATTTTAGAAATATAAGAATTAATATTCTGAAATATTTTATGTTGAACATGATGTAAGAATTATTTATATCATGTCTTCATTTAATATATCTAAAATTATAAATGAATTTTAGGGATGAGTTAGGATTGATAGCTTAATGAGTTGATACATTTTTGTTAGAGTTAATGTTGCTTCAAGTAGATCAACTCAGTTACATGAAATAAAGTATCATTAGTATTTTTTTATGTCTGCAGAACGAGAAACTGAAGTCATTAGTACAATTGTCGAGTGTCTGAATGTATTCCATGTTGCACATCTTTATACTATTTGATATAAAATGTTCTATAATGATGTAAGAAATGTACATTTTATTTTGAAGCTAATATCTTTATAAATATTAGAATACTTATAGATAAATTTTACTCAGTGGGTTTAGATTAATATCAAATTCTCTTCAAAATTATCAAATGCAAGTTACCTTTCATAGGAAGATAGAAATATTTTTCATATTTGCTTTAAAACAAGGTGACTGAATAGAGGTATTGATGAAAATCATAGATAATTTTATGTGTATATATGACATAATGGTCAGAAGTATAAACTGGTTGAAAGACAATATGGTTGCCTATTGCTTTTCTGTAGAAGGGATTTGTTCTGTAATATCAACTGATGAGGCACTCAATTTTTATATAATGTGGCATCATGTTAAAAATTACATGAGGAAAACTGTGGATTGACTGATATGAATAGTATAAAAATCTCCATTAATTCTCATATGATAAGTATATAAGAATATTAATTTAAGTGATAAATATAATTTTACTAAAGATTACATTAATATCTATTACATTTCTGCAGGTGAAGATGTTAGAGTCATGAAAACTGAGGGTGAGTGTCTTTTGTAAAAAGATTTAGTAAAATAGGTTCTTTTTTATTTTTATCAAAAGATTCAAACTGAAAATCAAGTAATTAATGAATTTTCATTTTATGCTAGTAATTAGAACTTGAATATATAAAATGCACAATTTTACAAAGGAAATAAAAAAGACAAGACTTCACTACTGATTTTTAATGAAATCTGTTTTGATTTATATCTTAGAATTATATTTATGCTTATTGGGTTCTCTTTTAATCATTCCGATTCTTAAAGATAGATATAGTTGGCTTCAGAACTGAATAGGGAATAAAATGATACCTTAAAATGTATAATATAAGTTTTGATTTGTCTGCAGTTCTATTATTTATTTTTGTTTGTATTTATTAAATCCTGCAGAGCAAGCACCTCAATCAGAAGTCTCATTTGGTGAGTGTTATTCTCTAACACCATAACAAAAATACCATGTCTAAAACATGTTGTTAATTGCTTCTGTAATAACATACAAATAGGCTTCTTCATGTTAATACAAAGGAATTGAGCAATTATTAACAATTTCAGCTTTTATATATAAATGTGCTTCTCTGTTGATGTACTGGTAAGGTTATAATATATTTTCTGATTGTGATGCTGCACTTTTTACTGTCTTCTGTTCATGTATATGATGTTTATGAAGGTTTACCTCCATAACACAAGTTATAATTGGCTTTTCTTTTACTATGCTGTTACTCATATAAACAGTGTGTTCATGGGAGTATAATTTATCAATTAATGCTTCATAATTATAAAAAATAAAAACATGTTCATTGACTGCTTATGTCATCATTTTGTAAAGGAGTTCAGCCTATAAGTGTTTTGTTTTTGTCTCTATGTTGCTTCGATATAAGAACATCTCTGTTGAAGTTTGATGTTTAAAATGGAATCTAGAAAGGCATAAATCATACTGATTGATATGGCTGTTTTCAAGAATTTCCATATACCGTTCTTTGGTGTTGGTTATACTTTGAAACAGTTGTTATCTTAATTTCTTGTTGCTTAAAATGAAGCTTATGTTTCCATCTTAGTTAAGTACAATGTTCACATATATCTTTTGCTATTAGTATTTTGCTTTGCAGTTAATTTTATTATCATTGGCAGCTTTTAGTAACAATTGTGTTGTGCAATTTTTAATTTACACTTTCAGCTTCAAGACATAAATGTGCTTTGATACTTATTTTTAAGCACTTTATTTTCTTAGATTTTGCTGAAACATCATTTGTATTAGCTCTATGTCTATTATTTTTTTTAAAAAATGTGCTCTTATATAGCAGTAGTTATAAATGACTTTCTTTAATTTATATATATTGCTATAAGCCTTCTTTGCTTTATCATTTTGCCTCTTGTTCCTTAAAAGAATATTCAAGTATAAAGTGAAGTGGAATATCCAATATACAATTTTGTTATGACTGATTTGCTTTAAATTTATTATTTTAACAGGCAGTTTTTTTTTAAAATTATTTGAGCAATGATTTCAATTTTCATACTCTGTGCAACATTTAAAGAATTTTAATTTAAATGTGTTAGTAAATACTTCAATTTGCATTTATCTGTGTTGTAATGAAAAATGATTACAGTGAACAAATTGGAGATAATCTATTTACAAGTATTTTCATGATAAATGAAGGTGCTTACAGATCACAACATCTATTAGAGGGATGAAATTTAAATTTTTATTATTGCATTATTCCAAAATTTTGACATATCAGTGGATAGCTATTAATGTCAACAACTGAGCACAAATAGTTATTAATTAAAAAAAAATAGTAATTAATGTATAATATTATCCATAACTACATTTACAAAAATATTGTTTCTGTTAAAAGTTAAAAAAATAACCATCAATATGTAAAAAATGCATATATTGTCAAAAATTCTTTTCTCCACAATATAGCTATTTGAGCTACTGAATAATTTTTTTTTAAACGTTAAAGTATATTTAATCATATCTCCCTAATAGCTGTTGCGATCTGTTAATAAAGATTAGTTGATTTTCAAGTAGAAATTTAATATATCTCTCATGTATATAGAAGCCCTTAATTATATCAGAAATTAAAATAAATTAATTGATAATCATTGTATGTTATCAGAACAAGAGCCTGAAGTAACAGTTACTCAGGGTGAGTGTTTAATTATAATTTTCATATCAGTCTGTTTGCAAAATATATTTGTGTAAAGTGATTTTTAAGCAAGTTGAGTCTGAAATCACTAATCTAAGTAATTATTTATTTTTGTAATTTCTTAATCATAAACTATATATCTTCTAAGGGAAAATATTATTTTTGAATCTTCATTATAACAATAGATTAAATGTAAGAGAGCATCTCTTATTATATGCTTTTGTATATCTTTACAAAAGTTCATCAAAATTGAATTATTTCTTTATTTAGTCTCAAACCATTTTTCTAAATATAACAAAATACGATTTTATGGTTTCTTAATCGTGAAATATTTTTATATCTTGTAAATGATAAGAAAATCCAATTGTTGAATCTTCATTATAAAAATAGATTTTTAGTGATGTTTGAGATGTGAGGGTATCTCTGATGATATACATTTGTATATGTGTAAAAGAGTTTATTAAAATTGTTATTATATTCCTTGTTTGAAAGTAAGTGATATGATTATTACATTTCACAGAACCAAGTGATGAAACTAAAACATTCTTAGGTGAGTTGCCATGTATATTAGTAAAATTATTAGATTATTAAAGGTAAATCTATTCATTTTTAAAATAGCAGGTAACTTTCAAAAGTGTTGTTATCATCATTAATTTTTAAATATTTTTATTCCTTTTATGGAAATCTGGAATTGTTTTTATTCCAAGCTTCTGTTTGGACAATTGTTCTTCATTGTCTTTTTAATATTGTTATTGCACATGCCAGTATATTCCACATTCTTTTTCATGTACATAGTTTTTAAGAAATCAAGTGATTTCTTTTTATATAACAGTATTTATGCAGAAAATGGTAAATAATATACCATCAAAATCACTTCATTCCAGTAATGAAAACCTCCAGATAGCATTATCCAGATTCACTCATATATTAATGATATATTAAAATGTGTATTTGAAGTTTGGATTTGTTTGCAGTTCTATTATTTATTTTTGTTTGTATTTATTAAATCCTGCAGAGCAAGCACCTCAGTCAGAAGTCTCATTTGGTGAGTGTTATTCTCTAACACCATAACAAAAATATCATGTCTAAAACATGTTATTAATTGCTTCTGCAATAACATACAAATAGGCTTCTTTGTGTTAATACAAAGGAATTGAGCAATTATTGACAATTTGAGCTTTTATTTATAAATGTGCTTCTCTGTTGATGTACTGGTAAGGTTATAATATATTTTCTGATTGTGATGCTGCACTTTGTACTGTCTTCTGTTCATGTGTATGATATTCTTGAAAGTTTAACTCTGTACCACATATTATAATTGGCTTTTCTTTTACTATGTGTGTAATCATATAAAATATGTTGATGAGGGTATAATTTATGCTTACCCATTAATTCTTATTAAGTATTTTCTAACTAAGGAGTTAATGTGTGTTTTGTTTTTATCTGTGTGTTGCTCCAATATAGGAATGTCCTTGTTAAAGTAAAATGTTTAAAATGGAATCTAGAAAGGCAAAAGAAAATTTTTATTATTGTGGCTATTTTCTTTTGTGTTTAGTTGTGGCTATTTTCTTTTGGCTGCTTATAGAGCATATTTATGGTGGATGAATTTGATGACATTTTATGATTTATATTTTTCCATTTGGAAATATTTTTTATTACTTGTTTTCATTTTTTGTCTGATTTAAAATGCTCATAAGAAATTAACTGATAAGTGGAGTAAAATTGAGTAAATACGACTCTGTTCATGAATGTTTCCAAGGTACATAAAGATGTTTCTTGAAAATTCTTAAGAGATTTATTTATTAAATTGGAAATTAATGTTACCTTTGTTGGTAAATATAATTATGAGAATATATGAGAATATATACTCAATGATTTCAATAATGTCAAAACTTATTTGATAAGCTTTGTTTGTTGCATGTGAATAGACCAAGAGCCTCAAGTAACAATTACTCAGGGTGAGTGTCTGAATATCATGTGATTATGTTTGAAAAATATCTTTTAAAGAAATTCATTTTTTAGCAAGTGTCATCTTAAATAATTTTATGAAATATTGCTAGCTCTGTTCAATGTATAGTTGATTTTGTTTATATGATTATGAAGTATTGTATTATGGTTTGTGTAATATATTTGCTTTATTTTTCATCCAAATTGATTCAAAACATTATTCCTGTTAGTAAAAGAGAAAATTATCTCTTTTTGTAATTCTTTCTAATATTTGAAATGTGCCAAGAAAATGTATACAAATCATCTTGATATAAAGTTTTGAGTGTATGTTGTTCATGAATGCATTGAAGGTACATATAGATATCTCTTGAAAATTGTTAAAAGACTTGTCTATTGAATTGGAAATAAATGCCAACTGTTCTTTGTTGGTAAACATAATTTGAAGATTTGCTTTATGGTTTTAATAGCATAAATACTAAATTGATAATCTTTGTTTGTTGCATGTGAATAGAACAAGAGCCTCAAGTCACAGTTACTCAGGGTGAGTGTCTGAATATCATTTTTATATGATGATGTTTGTAAAATATATTTTAAGGAAATAATTTTCTAGAATTTAGTCATGAATAATTTTTATGAAATAATGTAATAATGTTTAATAATAGTATTGCTTAGTTTAGTAGAATATGAATTCATTTTTGTGGTTATTTTGCTTTGTCAACTTATGAATACAGTTGAAAAAACCTTCATTCAATGAATGCATTCACTTCATTGGAAAATATTTTTATTCCCCATTTCATTTGTCTTGTATGAATTAAAATTTAAATAATGTAATCAATTTATATGTGGAATAAAATTAATTCAGTAAATACAACTCTGGTGTTATGATGATCATAAACGATTTCAATGTATATAAAGATGTCTTGAAAAGTTTCGAAGATTTAGTTATTGTAAATTTATTCAATGCTTGCTGCTTTTGGATGATAAATATAATTATTTGAGCATTTTCTCTATGATCTTAATAAAATCAAGACTTAATTGATAATCTTTGTTGTTGCATGTGAATAGAAGAAGAGCCTCAAGTAACAGTTACTCAGGGTGAGTGTCTGAATATCATTTTTATATAGTTTGTAAAATATGCTTAAAGAAAGTCATTCTCTAGCAAATGTCATCTTAATTTTCATGGGATAATATTTGTTTATAATTATGAAGTTTTGTATTGTCTGTAGTATATTTGTCTCATTTTTCATATTATTTATAGTACTAAATTAGAAAGCTGTCTTGTTTTATAGTTGTTTTTCAAAATATCTAAACATGCTTGCAAAATATATTACTCATCTTGATATATGGCTGTTTGGTTAATTTTTATGAAAATGTAAGAAAGACAATTTCCCCAATATAGAAATCTATAATCAGCATTCATCCTATAATGGTATAGGGGATAATGAACATTTTTTAGGTCAGGACATGCTGTGATTTACTTATTTATAAATGGAGTAAATGCATAAAAAAATAAAACATAAAATATATATTTCAATATCACTCTTATTCTTTAAAATGTAGTTGATTTTCTTTGATTTTTATATTTATTATGTGTGGTTTCTGTGTGTTATGACTGAATAATGCACATATGATGAATAACATTATAATTGGAATCTTTCTTATAATTAAGAAAATTGGTGATTTTATTCTTTCTTACCTCTCTACAGAAGAGAGACCTGCTGTTGAATCTGTCTCTGGTGAGTGTCTAAAAGTCTAATACATTTCATATTGTATTTTGTTTGCTGGTTGAATAAGAATATAGATTTTATTTATATAAACTTGAACTATTTGAGAAGTCACTGTTTGGAAAGTTTTTTGTAAATTTTCGATTTTCTCTTGAGATTTTTTCAGCAACTGATTCCGCTGATTTAAAACAAATATAAATACATGTGAATTTATGTTATTCTTTGTGTTACCTAACTGTTGAGAATATTTGAATATTAGGTATACAAAAGTTGTTATTGAGTAGGTTAAACTAATTATTCTGGAACATTAACTTTAGTATTTCTTTCATTTCTCTAGGTGAAAATATTAAAATCATGAAGACTTATGGTGAGTGACTATTCCAATAGTTGAAACCAAATATGTAGATTGATAAATATTACCTGACTTAATGTTAATAATAAGTAAAGATAAGAATGTTGTAAGATTTAGTTACACATCTTTTTCTTAATCATTTCACCCTAAGCAAGGCAATATAGCCATTAAGATACAACGGTGTGAAAGAATTAGAAAAAGTAAAACATTATTAACAAGTGGGAATAGTAAAAGAGAAATAAAGAAGACTGTACATAATTGTCATATATGAATAAAGTGTCACTGCCGACACTTGGGTTTGAAAGCGGATCGCCAGAGAGCAAGCACAGTTGACTTTATCTTGAAATAATTAGATCATGTGATGGGTAAAGGAAAAAAATATATATGGGAATTAGTGCGAAGTCTGACTGAGTATTGTTCAAAGGTGTTACTATTATTGTATCTGTGATTTACAAAGTCTCTCCTACAAACGAGAATTACAAAAATAATGATTGACATTGCATTTAAATTTTTGAAGATCAAAGTTGGCTGGAAAGCAAGAAGCTAGAAGTGAGTCTTTAGGATTTTACTTAGATTAGCAGAGAAATTATTTCTTTGCTAAATAAAAATCCATTATTTATAAAATCTTATACAGCTATAATAAATAACAAATGAATAAAAGGTTAATGTTACATTGCATTTTCTTAATTGCATTTGTGATCAAAAGGAAGAGCCCAACATGTAAATTACAAATTGAAGATACCAAAATCAAACAAGTACAAAAATTTAAATATATGGGAAGTGTTTTAACAGAAGACAGTAAATGCAATACCAAAATCCGAAAGTGCATTAGGCTACCAAAAGATGCCTTCCAAAAGCTAAGCAACATATTAAGAAACATGAAAATTTTGTTAGAAACGAAAAAAACAGTGCTGAACTGTTATGTATTATTGATCCTCTTATATAGCAGTGAATTTTGGACAGCAAATGAAGAAAAACCTTGAGGCAACAGAAATGTTTTTCTACAGAAGGATGCAGTAAATATTATGGACAGAGCATGTGAGCAATGATGACGTTTTATAGAAAATGGAAACAAAAAAGACACAAACTTAACATCAGAAAGAGATAGCTGAAATTTCTAAAGCCCATAATAAGGAAAGAAGGCTTGGAAAATGTGATACTCACAAGACATTAAAGGCAAAAGGGACAGAGGAAAACCTACCAAACAAACTTGTATAAATGGATGGTTGGACAGGGTTTGGGAGAGATAGTAAAAAGATAAAATCTATTGTTCTACATAGGATAGAAAATTGTGGAGGCTTATGGCCATATCACGTTGAAATACCAGTTCCAATATGATCAGTGAAGTTAAGCACCATTGAGTCTGGTTGGTACCTAGATGGGTGACTACTTGAGAATATCAGGTGCTGTAAGCTTAGATGTGCAGGTGGTGTAATGTATAATAGCTCAAAATTGTTAATTTGGGATCTGAATTCCAATTCCAGTTGTATTTGGTATATTCACTTGTGTGCAAATACCCTTGGGAAGGTATGAATTCACTTTTTCTCCTCCAACTGTGGGTTAATTAATAAGACTTGTATCACTAAATCATTATTATCTTAAAAAAATTCTAATCTAAAAATATTTTCTGGCTTTAAATAACCTGAAATGTGTTGATAAGCCATTGAAAACAAATCAAAAATTCTGGATAGCTATGATCACCAACATCCTGAATAGGCATGGCATTGAAAAAAAAAAGGAAGAAAAAATACAAGATGTATTTATGATTCTAGTATTAGTAGTGTAATTAAGTAAACTAATTAATTTTCCTTTTGTATTAGTGGATAGTATTTGTATTTTTTACTTTCAACAGAACAATCAGATAAAGTTGAAAAAATAATTAGTGAGTGTTAGAACATGACAATGTATATTGTGGTTCTATAAAAGAAAATTTAATGTCAGTATCACTCTGATAATAGTTTCTCATTGATATTGAAGCATGTTACATACTTGTGCACAGAACTGTAAGATATACCAATATAAAAAAGATTTTCTTTTAGACAATTGGTCTTATTCTTATAAGTGGAGAAGTTTTTTTTTAGCTTAGAAACCAATGGATTTCTTTTCAATTGCTGCAGCCTCTTTAATTTTACTCAATATTTGAATTATATTTACTGTTTTTATCAGAGAGCTGTAATATTGAATTATTTCCTGTGAAAATTATATTTAAGGCATTTAGTTTGTTGAGAGAATTATATATTTGACTTAATTAAGAGTTTAATTTGACAAGGATTACTTAAATGTTCTTTTGCCTTTCTGCAGAGGAAACAACTGAAGTAAAGGTTGTAATAGGTGAGTTTTTAATTACCTATTCAGATTATTAGTAAACACATTTACAGTGCAGATGTATTTTTTCAAAGGAAATTTAATAAAAAAGGATGTCATGTTTGTAATAGTTAATGAAGATAAAAATATTGATGCACTTTCTATTATGCACTGTCTAGAGCAGTGTTCCTCAACTGTTTTTCTTTTTTTACTTCAGGGCATGTTTTAAATTTTAATAAGGAAAAATTAACCATACAATTTGAAAATAGAAAAATAAAAAAAATCTTCTGATTTATTTTTAAGAGATTACATTGTATATTTAAGTGATTTATGAAGAATATACTATTGTTTTAGGGAGACCAATAATGACTGATTTAAATCATTTGAGGGAGGCAAAAGAGAAAGCATTATGCACTCTTTCTTAGATTAAGGAATTTAGCATCATGACAAAGATTCAACATAGACATGGAAGCCATGTACTTGGTGTCTAGCTTTTGAAAAAAAAAATTTTTTAATATAAAAATAATTCATAAATTACTTTTCAGTTAATTTCATGATACGTAGTGCACCAGTTGAAAATACTAGTTTAGAGATATGTGGTTATAGTGGATAGTTACTTTTCTGAAGAATTTAACCATACAAAAATATAGATATGTAAAGTACTTGTATTATTAATCAGTTTTGTAACAACACTAAGAAATTTATCTGAACTTGAGAGGATTCAAATAAATATATACATAATATATCTAGATTATTCAACCAAACATGCTTGAATGAAAATATGCTGCATATATATATATATATATATATATATATATATATATATATATATGTGTGTGTGTGTGTATATGTGTGTAAATAATATCATTTTAATATCTTCAATATATAAAAGTCAGTAATCTAATTGTTTTTTTACTGTTATATGGAACAAAGGCCTTGTGTTATAAGGATCAGTGATGCATATCAGAATGTTTGATATGGTATTCATGTTTTTATTTTAAATATCAAACACTTTAATGAATAGAAATAATGTTACAGAAGGCATAGGCTGGCCCAGAATAGCAAACTACTGGTCAGAATCTGGATGTTCCAAACTGAGTGGTGATGCTGGTAATTTGAGTCATGTTGACATGCAATTCTGACAGTGATGGATTGTCTTTGTTTAAGTTTTGATATAAGGCCAAAAATTCATGAAGACACACATGTGCTTTCAAGAATTAGAAGGGTCAAGGTACCTTGTCATACCTAAACTCTTTCATGAGGCAAGCCAGTATGTGGTGATGAGATTTTGGCCAACCAGTTGACATGTATCCTATCTCTCTTTCTCTTTTTCTTCCTCTTAGAAATGATGCTATAACTACTGTCCCTCATATAATAAAGCAAAGAAAATTGTATGTTGTTGATGCTGCCTCTGATATAGTTTGAGTCTGAAGAATTGAAACCAGAGATGACATGAAATGCAACAATAATTTTAATATTTATCTGTTCATGTGATATCAATCTAAATCCTATTATAATTATCCTTGTCTCTTCCTTTGTTATTTTGCACAACCATTATGCCCTGCTAATACCTCATAAATAATGGGCTATTCCATTTTGATCTTGTGGAAAGAGGGAAAAAGACACTATTTGGTTTCAGTGAGAAAATGAATGAAAGAAGAGGAGATAGAAGTGTTTAACAACTAAGTGAAATGAAAAAAGTTATCAATTTCAACTCTTCTCATTTGTACCCACTTCTTAACAACCAGCATTCATATTTATGATTGTTATTGTAATATTTTGTAAAAGTTGTTAAGCTCAAATATTTAACAATGTGATAGGGGAATTTCTACAGATATTTTATTGTCATATAATTCACCATGAGCTTACTCAATCATTAACTTAAGAATTAAGATCCATCAGAATATTAAAATAGGAAAACCTCAAAATTTACATGGGTTAAAAGTAGTTCATATTAACTTGATTTTAATAGTAACTAAATATTAAAATGAAAACCTCACTTATGTATCTTTAATATTGTATAAAAAAATTATGAAGTTTGGTGTGTCTTATGATGCTATTTTTTGATATATGATTACATTGTTAAGAATAGATACTTTAGAAAAATTAATTACTTAAAGAATAAGGGATGCAAATAATATAAAAGGTTAGATGCAGTTTTATCAGATAAGTATATAAGAATATTAATTTACTTACGTAAATGTATTTTTCTGAAGTAAATTAACATCTACTACATTTGTGCATGTAAAGATGTTAGTCATGAAAACATGATGAATGTCTTTTGTAAAAATACATCTAAGCTGCATTGTATAATATATAAACAGATTTTTATGAGAAATCAGGGTATAAACAATTTTGATTTTCTTTATTTGGAGGTGGGTTTGTAAATAAGAATTGAAAATGTAAACTGTAAGATTTTATAAATGAACAACATTAGAGTTGATTCAGTATAAAATCAGGTTTGATTTACATTTTATAATACTTCTACTTTTTGGAGTCCTTTTTCTTAATGGCTTGTATTCATAAAATGGCCATGGTCATCTTCTGTAAAAATAGAAGTAAATGACCAATTAAAATGTTGAATTTAATTTTTGATATATCTGTAGTTCTATTATTTATTGATATTTTGTATCTATTAAATCCTGCAGAGCAAGTACCTCAATCAGAAGTCTCATTTGGTGAGTGTTATTCTCTAACACCATGACAATAATGTATAAAGCCATGTATTCAGTTGCTTCTATAATAGCATCAACATGCTTCATTGTTAATGTCAGCTTTCAGTTATAAATATATTGCTTTTATACTGAAAATGTTAAATAATGCTACACAAACACGCACATATATATGTGTGTATATTCCTGTTTTGTTGGCTTCTGTTCAAAGATTAATACATTACTAGCAATGTATTGAGCAATTTATAATTGACAATTTTAGCTTCTATAGATAAATGTGCTTCTGTTAATTTACATATATATTATTATGTTGGTGCTGAAGTATCTTGTTTTAAATCCATGTCTGTTTTTGTGTATCTCTGTAATAGTAATTATAATTAACAGTTATTTTACTCTGTGATTACTGACATAAGAATTGTATTTTTCTGAGAAGAATTTGTGCTTATCAATTAATGCTTACATTTAAAAATATCTATTTCTTGACTGTTATTATTATAGGACTGTCTTTGCTTATGTTAGTCTATTCTGTGTGGTATATTGGCCTGCAAACAGATATTGAGTGACAGAAGACAACAACAAACAAAGGCTTGAGTAAAAAAGAACATTTTCCTGAGAAGGACTGTTTTGTAGTCTCTGAAGAGTTTTTTCCTGAGAAAGACTGTTTTGTAGTCTCTGAAGAGTATTTTCCTGAGAAGGACTGTTTTGTAGTCTCTGAAGAGTATTTTCCTGAGAAGGACTGTTTTGTAGTCTCTGAAGAGTATTTTCCTGAGAAGGACTGTTTTGTAGTCTCTGAAGAGTATTTTCCTGAGAAGGACTGTTTTGTAGTCTCTGAAGAGTATTTTCCTGAGAAGGACTGTTTTGTAGTCTCTGAAGAGTATTTTCCTGAGAAGAATAGTTTTATAGTTGCTGAAGAACATTGACCTGAAAAGAACAGCTTTGTAGTTGCCAAAAGGCTTTGTCCTGAAAAAGACAATTTTGTTGTTCTGAAATAATTTTGGGGTTGCTGAAAAGGACAATTTATTGCATATCATTGTTGTTGGTGAGGTTGGCTGGAGCTGGAAGCCTACTGGAGATGGCAAGCTGAAGATGATGATGGCTGGCAGGAACTGCTGCTGATGGCTGGAGCCATAGCCTGGCTGTCAGCTGCTAGAACAGATGCCACACTTTGATCCGAGCCATCTGGGCTATGGAAGATAATTTTTTTTTGTTGCTTTGAGGCCTTTTTATATCCTGGATAAGTTTTACAATGATCACTGGTCAAGCTTTTTTCTTTCAATTGTTTTTAAAATTGTGGGAGTGCCAACAGGATATGACAAGTTTTTTTTAAAATAGAACAAACAGATATCTAAATATCTAGATATGATCCTTTTGGATAAAGTTTTCGTATAATTTGGATGTACTTATACTTTAAAATATGTTTGAAGTGATGGCAAGGGAGACTTAAGAATACTTTAATGAACTAGCAAGATGGATACATTTTACATCAAGAGAGTGACAACCAAGAGTGGTTATCAATAGAAAGTCAAGGGAGATTAGTAGAAGAAAAACATGTTTAGCCTGTTGTGTTGGTACCGTTTTGCTTTCTTGGTATTTTTTATTTCTAATAACTGTTTTTGATATTTTAAAATATTTGAGTAACATTTTAAATTTCATACTGTGTACAACATTTAAAGAATTGTGAGGAAAACTTAAAAAACCGTGTGATAAAAAATTGATATACATCTGATGAAGGACAGAGGGCACAATGGCTAAAACATTGTGATAATAACAACAAAGATGAGAATAATAGTCTGCATGTAAATAGTATAAACAATGGTAATTACTTATCCCTGAAATTCACACAGTTAAAAAGGGTTTCCTTACCTTTGAATTTGAAGTTGTTTGGAATGCCAACATCTTGATTATGTTATTGTTTTCTCTTTAAGTTACATGTGCTATCCATTTTATCTGTTGCTGCTGTTGAAAGTCTTCAAGTCATGTGGTTTTTGTTATTTGTTACTGTTCTTTGCTTGTGATTCTGTAGTGCCAGTCAACAATGTTTGAAAAAGTGTGGTCTTCATGAAGACCATAAGCTTCATGCTCTCATTGCCATTTTTAACCATTGATCTTATAAAGCGTTGTATACAACTGACAGTTTACATATTTCTGTCTGAGTTTGGTGCCATGCATGACATCCATATGAAATTCTCAGTCTAACGATATTTAAGAACATGACTTGAGTTTACAGGTTAATTTTTTTTAAATACTTCAATGTGATGGTTATGTCTGTCAGAAATCTTTGCTTTATGACAAGCACACATTGACTTTTAATCCATTGTTTTACTTTTATATTTTTTCATATTTGCATGACAATTTTATTCATCTACATTTTTCAGACTTGAAACAAGAAGATTTGTTAATACATTTATTTTTGTTTACATCACCAGATATTCTGTATGTGTCGGAGAACTGAGAATGTTGTTGCTAAATACAACAAACTGAAATAACCAATTAAAAGTTATTTCTTTAGAGTAAATAATGTTCCAAATAAACTTAATCATGGAAGCAGTGAGATTTAAAAAATCTATTTAATTTTCTTTTATCAAAAGCAGTTAATAATATTCTTTGCATTCCTACAGAACAAGAAGTTCATGAAGATATTTTGGCTGGTGAGTGCCCTAATATTTGTGAATGCAAACAATAATTTTAAAAATTCTTTGCATGGTAGAAAATAAAAAAAAAAATAATGAAAAAAAAAACAGTTAAATTACTAGAATTTCATTTTTTTATTTTACATATTTTCTTTTTTGCTTTCTTTTTGCTTGTAATTATTTTAAACAAGTTTATATGGAATTTTTGATTCTGCAATACTTTGAATGTGCTTATTGTGATAATGTTTATAGATGTAGTTGATGTTATCAGGTTTTAAAAATAAACTGAAATGCTCCTTTATGCTTGAAAAAAATTGCTGAAAATAACACGTAATATTATCATTGTTGAGTTGAATCTAAAATGAAAATTTTATTTAAATGAAATAAAGTTAGCATGCATATAGGACTCATAAAAACATAGATGGATTAGCACTTCTTAGATCAGAGTATCTGTACACTCTGCTTAGAATTAGTATTGTCTTTTGTTTTTTTATAACCATTTCACCCCAAGCAAAGCAATAAAGCTAAGATGCAAGGGGTTACTGAGCATGGGAGAATATTAGAAAAAAATGTTATTCAGGAGAAAGTACAATAAAAGAACATTAGTTGAAATAAAAAAAATAACGATGAACATTGCATTTAAATTTTTTAAGAGCAAAGTTAACCGGAAAGCAAGAAGCTGGAAGAGAGTTCCACAAGCCAAGTATGAGAGAAGAAAGTGTTAGCTTAGAACTTATGTTTATTTCAGTTGTAAAATGATGAGACCTTGTCACCAATGTAGTACTGAACTTCATAAAGTCTAGGTACCATAGAGGAAATTTCATTGGAACAATTACCATGAAATTATTTATAGAAAAGGCACAGAGAAACTATGTGACAGCAGTGGGAAGATGACTGAAACCAAGATACCAGGCACTTTTATCTGCCATTTTAAGCATATTGAAATTAAAATTTAAGCTGTACAATTGCCAAGCCACTGTTTCACATGGGGAATAATTACCGATATAAACTAATTAAGATTTAATTTTTCTCAATATATATCTGTTTGGACATATTTTTCAGATGAGGTAATTTTTTTCCACTATCAGCTCTGAAGTATTTATCAAACTTTTGTTCTTCCGATATAAAATACTGCAAATAAACTGTTTGCATAATGAAAATCTTACCAGTGATAATTTAATTGCTTTCTCTTATTTATTTTGATTTGCCCTGTAAACCACTTTAGTTTGGATTCTAGTTGCGTGTATAACTTGTGCTACAACAGGCATGTGCTTCTTTGTAGATACCTTGCTTTTGGTAAGAGGCAGAGTAATTATCTATGAAGTCTTCATTGTTGATCTTAGATTTAAATGCTGCATTTTCAAAATATCTGTCTGCTTCAATAAATTAACTTGCAATTTCATTAAGCATATCTACTAATTTTTGCTTCAGCTTAGCTTTCACAATGCAGTTTATTCACTTCAAACAAAATAAAAAATACTTCAGTTTTTTTTAAATACTTTTATGCTTATTGCTTCAAAAATCTCTTATTGATTTTTTTTATCTGTCATTTCCAAGTACTGCACTTTTGTTTTCTGCTTTTGCAACATTTTATTTGCTGAGGAATGCTTTCATGTGAAAAAGATATTGATGTGTAAATTATTTTAAATTATATCACTCTTGTTATTGTATTTTTCAAACAAAAATAAAATTTTTCTTTCATATCTATATGAGCTCTGAAACTTAGAACTCCAGTCTTACTGCTGTTTGTCAAAATAATTGTTCATCTTATTAAAATCAGTTGTCAAAACTTTCGTAATTGATCTCTGATATATGTTTTTCCTTATGTCAGTATTATGCCAACATGTAACTTTTGATAAAACTACAATGTACTTTTGCACTGATTAAAAATATTTTGTTTTATAATACAGTGTGGCAGAAATACCCCCACATAATGGTAAGACATTAGCTAGATGAAGACATTATCACTAATGTCTTACCATTATGTAAAAGGTATTTCTGCCACAGCCTGTACTTTATGGAATTTAAACAAGTGTATGAATATTTTTTCTTCTATTGTATAATGACCTTTTATGAGTAAACATTATTAAAAAAGATATATAATTCTCATATTTTGTAAAAACATAAAATAAAAAAATTTGATTATAACAATGATATGAAGATATTTAGTAACCTCTTATAAACAGGAATTATCACCTACAATTGATTGGGATGAATATCTACTTTCTAGATAAATGGTACTTTTTACCAAGTATATAATTTATCTAATTTTGTGAATGGGTATTTTTCTATAAATTCATTAGTTTCATTCAAAATATATATTTTTGTTTTTCATGAGGTTAACATAAGTCCTAGATAAATGTAAACTTCCTTTTGAAATCTCAAATGGTTTCAGCAGTATTAGAAATTCATTTTGATCACTATTAACAACAAATACAAACCATAATAACTTTTTTATTATGTAAGCAAAAACATAGAAACAAAATTTCATCTTTAGTACATATTATATAATAAAGATATATAATAATATCTATATTCTGAAAATACAGGGTGCAGCAGAAATACCTCCCACATAATGGTCAGACAATGGTGTCTTCCTCTAGCTAATCTCTTACCATTATCTGGGAGGTAAATGTGGGTGGTATTTCTGCTGCATGCTGTAGTATAGTAATAAAATTCCCTGTTTAATATTAAGAATTGATTCCATAACAATGTTAAATTGACTTTGTTGCATCTTCACAGAACAAGAACATGAAATATCAACTTCAATTGGTAAGTTTTTAAGTGTAAAATGTTATAAAATTAGTAATCATCATCTTAAAAGATCCTTCTCTTTGTTGAAAAACAATGAACTTCTAAAAGTCATGACATCTCAAAACAAGATGCACATAAAATGTTAGTTTACTTTAACTTGGTATGATATATTCTGATTAAAATCTATTGAGTTTTTTTTTAATAAGATTTAGGCCAGTTTAATTTTTACTTTATAAGGTAAATAATTTTAATATTTTAAATATATAGTAATTAAATAACACCTTTTGAATTAAATAATTTAATTCAGTATAATAAAATGAGCATGTTTAACCTTCATACCTGAAATAAAAATGGTGTATCAAAAGGATTGTTATTCCTTTGACACTGCTATTACTGTATACACTTTTGACTTCCTTGTCAATGTTTATTTACAAGATTATAAAAATATGTCAACTAAGTACAAATGGATATTTATTTAACTTTTATAAAGATCTATTATTTAACATTTTATAAAGAAATAAATTTGAAAAAAATCTTTTTATTCAAATATTTATTAAAAAATTATCAAAATATGTAAGAGGAAGAGATGCTCTCAACCTATTTTAGTGAATTTATATGGCCAGAGCAAATGAAAAAATGTCTGGAAAATGGATTTTTCAAAATTTATACTTACAGTTACTCACCATTATGTGTTTATTTACATTTTCCGTTTCAGAAATTTATGAATAAAAATTTTTGTTTTGTATTTATTTTTTATAAAATGGCAAATAAATATTTAATTAATTATTAAATTTTTATAATCTTGTAAATATAAAATCATTCTTGCAAATAAGAAATGTAATAAATAATGAAACAAAGTGGAAAAACTATAGCCAACATATTTCACAGTGAGCATCTGCTGCCTTTGCCTTCTTCAGGTTAAGCCAAAGGTAGCAGATACTCTTGGTGAAACATGTAGTTTATAACATTTTCACTTTGTTGCATTATCTTCAATTTTGTAAATATAAAATTATTATTGTAAATAAAATATATAATTAATAGTGTTTAACATCTTTGTTGTCAATTCTCAAGAATAAAGAAAATCTGTAAATCTACTTTCATATGTTTGGTTTTTATTAAAATTGTAATCATTGCTTTGTAAAACAAACATTGCCAAGGAAGTCAAAAGTGTATAGAATAAAAGTGCTGTCAAGGGAATAAACATCCTTTTGACTTACCATTTTTTGTAGGAAATGAAAGTTAAACATGCCCATGAAATGATTATCCAGGTATATATCATATATTGATTTATTCAAAGGTTAATTGTATATTTAAAATGTAATAAATTAAAAAATATTTTAAAATTGTAAGTTCCATAAAGTATATTAATATTATTCATTGCCTTTTCCACAGAACAAATTACAGAAGTAAAGGCTACAATTGGTAAGTTTCAGTTACTTCATCAAATTAAGGAACTTATCACTTATGTCAAAAAATAATTAACATTTATCATATTTTTTAAAATTCTGATTTGTGGGAATATTATCAAATTTTGCATTTTTGTTAAAGATCTACTTTTATTATTTTATGATACCAACATTTCACATTTTTAATTTTATATCATTCCTACTATATAAGTTGCCAAAAGAATAGAAAATGATTAAAAGGTTACCTGAGAAAGAGTGAAAAGTTTATTTTACTGATTTGAATCAGAAGGAATAACCTTGATAATCATTGCTTTTCTACAGAAAGAAAAAGTGAAAAAAAGCCAATGATTGGTGAGTGTATAGATATGTATTTTTTCTGTATCAGGAGAATATACTGCTACAATATCATCACTAAAAGTAAAACCCTAAATATTGATATTGAGCAAGATATTGTCTACTTATAACCATAAGCTAATGATTGGTGAATGCATCGATATGTATTTTTTCTGTATCAGGAGAATATACTGCTACAATATCATCATTAAAAGTAAAATCTTAAATATTGATATTGAGCAAGATATTGTCTGCTTGTTATGTGTATTGTGACTTTAAAATGTCTGCCTGCATATATTTCTTATCATTAGTTTTTATATTGCATTGGCTTAACAAATTTTACTCATAAACTATTTAACTGATATTAATGTAAAGCTCATATTATCATTAACCCTGCCTTAGTCACCTCAGATTTCTGAAAATGGATAGTCTCCTGGAGTGTTTACACAACCCAATATAAAAAAAAGCTTATAGTGTTACAATTATGTAAAATATTGTCATACTGCTGAAAAAAATAACAGGCAAGATAATCTTTAATATACATTAATTCAAAACTTGAATATTGAAAATTATTTTTTGTATATATTTATTAATAGTATTTTTTTTTAATTTTCATCAATTTTGTCTTAAATTATTTATTTATTTGGTTGAGCTAGCTCGGACATTCCTGAGTCTATCACACCGACCATCTCAGTTCTGCATCAAGTTTGAAAGTTCATTAGGGTGGCATTCTGTGTTATTACATAAGTGGTCAATGTAGGTGGTTTTTGGGTGACCAACCCATCTTGATCCATCGCTAGGTGTCCAGAGCAATAGAACACTATCAAGTTTTTGTTTTGCTCACCAGCAGTGCCCTGCAAAGCACATTCTGTGTTCATGTAAGATTGTAGAAATATCAGGGATGAGTCCATAGAGCTGTGATTTAGTTGGATATTGTCTCCAAGAGAGGTTAAGTATAACTCTCAGCATCCAAATGTAAGTTTTATCAAGCTTAGACTAGGGTTTGAGTTCTAGGGTTCAGTCAGTGGCCCCATAAATTAAAACTGTGTCTACAGTGGCTCAAAAGAATGTCCATTTGAGTTTATCTGGTAGATCAAATTTCCAGATTACATCCATTTTGCTTTAGCTATTTTCACATCTTTTTCAGTAGAATTTATTTAATTTCCTAAGTATGTAAAAGATTTTGACAGATTTTATTGATTACCTGAGACAGTTCGTACTGAGCCTTGAGCCTTAATGACTATATATGTGTGTGTGTGTGTGTGTGTGTGTGTGTGTCATCCACATACAGGTGTGTTTAACTGTATCACAGCTCATCAGTGTGGCTAGACATCTGATTGTCTCAAGCCAGGATCGAAAGTCAACAGATTTGGCATCAGGAGTTTCTACCCATATGCTATCAGTGCAATGGCAGAAGGAAAGGGGAATTCTAGCATATTATTTTTATGAATATAAACAAATGCCAGAAGCCCATAGTGCTCAATTCATTTAAAGAAGAGCATTGCATTAGTGGAGACTACTGCTTTTTAGAATTACCCTCTCCCTCAACAGTGTTCAGCTGTCAAGAGCATAATAATGCATAAATATATATATATATATATATATATATATATATATATATATATATATATATATATATAACCTATGTTTATTTGGTAGTTATGTAAATATAAAACAGTAGCTTGTTTTTCTTTATATTAAAATCTCAGCTTCTTGCTTGATTTTATAAAGTGGGATGCAAAAGTAGGTATGGAATAATAAAAAAAAACATGTGCACAAAATATTGTTTTGATGATACAAACATATCAATCCCTCAAATATTCAAACTCTTTGCTCCCCATCATTCTCATACTCTTCTTTACCTGCAAAACATTTATTATTGTTGATATTTATTAAAAAATAAAAATATTCAAAATGATTTTAATAAATTAAATGAATTCTAGTATTAATTAAATGAATCCTAGAAGCACTATTATAATATTGGTATAATACTTACTGTATACCTACTTTTGCAGCCCCTGTATTTTGTAATGGCTACCTTTATAACAATTGTTGTATAATTATGTCATGTTAGGAATTTGCTATTTGTTCTCATTCATTAAAAAAGGATACTCTGACAAAGTGAAAAAAGTTTTCATGGGACACATTTAACCTTTGAGGACTTCATTGGACTAAAGTGATGTTTATGTTGATGTGACTACACATGAACACAAAGAAGAGGGGATACCAAGAATTTTAAATTTAAATTAAATTTATTTTTTCTCAGCATTCACTTTACTTCATAAGCAGATGTATTTGTATCAATGCAAACATCACTTTAGTCTGATGAAGACAAAATGGGTTACACAAAAACTTTCTCCACTTGGCCAGTTTTTTTTCTATAAAATTGTTCTTGATATATAAAAAATTATATATTGCTTTCCCATTAAAAAAAATAATATAGTTATTATTTTCTTATATATTCATGTTTTGTTTGAGTTGAGTGTATGTAATAATTGTGCATTGAATGTTTCATATTTTTATTGTAGATATAATCATAAGATCTTACATGTAGTGTAAACACAAATTTGTAATAATTTTATCATCTATGAAAGTCAGTAAGTTCAAAACCTGATGATAAAAAGTTGATTTTTCAACATAATCTTTTGCCAATTCACTTAACCTTATACTTCCCAGTTAATCACATAGATTGAACATTATACCATAAAACTGTCATATAAAAAATTCAGGTAATTTAGATATAGATTTATTGATTTACTCTTGTATTCTATATTTTTAACTATTTATGAATATGAAATTCCATTGTCAGTAGTATTATTATTTCAAAAGACATTTTAATATATTCCATATATGATGTATGAAATATAAAAATGGAAGAAAATAGCAGAAAATATTGTGACAGAATTAACTTCAATGGTCTGAGATTCTTTAAAATATCTGAAATATCAAATATTTACATATAAAGGCATTACAGAAATTATTTTCATTGTACAATATATAATATACGTATGTATTGCAATTCTACAGGTGAGGAGTTTCAAGTCAAGACAACAACTGGTGAGTGCTGTAATTTAGTAGCTGATAATGTATAATGATTATAGCAAGACTAAATACTATTTTATGATATAATACAGTATTGAATATATTAATTTTATATTTGCATGAATATTTAAATTATACATATATAGTTTACACTATACTCTGAAATGCTTTCTGACCTTAAGAACTAGATATAAACAGTAGAATGAGAGCAAATTTTGTATTAAATATTTTATCATTTAGAAATATTTCAAAATTTATTTTTGTAAACATACATTAGATATTAAATGATGATATTCTTTGTAACTTTATAAAATCATAATAAAGAAATTCTAAGGGACTGATATCTTTTTGTCATTAGTTATGATGAACGCATTATCATTCTTATATAACTGTTTAATACCTATGTTTATTACATTTCCTCAGAGCAAGCACAAGAATCTGAAGTGACATTTGGTGAGTGTTTGTATTTAACACCACAATAATATCAGATATAAACAGTGGCAGGCTGGTCAGGGTGTCATCTTGTCTGATGTCAAGTAGGCCTCTATATCAAATAAAATGCAATAAAGAAACACACAACTGTTTTAGTAATAAAAAGGAATAAGTACTTTATAAAGTCATCTGCACACTATCAGTTACTCAAGTCCAATGTGAAAGGAAATTTTCAAAAACAAGGTTATGAAATTCCCTCTATGAGGATAATTTGGAATCATATATGTTGCTATCCATTGAAAAGGAATTGTCAGATGAATTGGATGCAGAAACTATTATTGGCAGATTCATACAATCATCTCGTTAATACAAACAATTGCTCTTAATATAGTGGATTGCATGCAATGCTATATTGTACTTTCAAACTATCTGTTAATATGTAAATTGTGCAGTAAACTAAAAATATTAACTAATTACTTAAAATTAAAAATAATAAGTAAAAACAAATAATTCTGTATTTACGTTTGGTATCTATTGCCAATAATATGTACAGTATATGTACATTGTAATTAATAAGCAATACACTTTTTTTCCAGAAAAAATTTAATAGTACTCTTTTCTTCATATGTATTTTTTGAAAATTTTATTATTCATTATGAAACTTAAATGCTAGCATTGTAGTTGTGGTGGACCCCCTTTGTTTCCTGGCCACCAATATTTTTAAACCCAGTCTGCCACTGGATATAAAACACAAAATAGCAAGGGCTTATAATTACAAATAAAAGTCTTTTTCAAGAATAGCCTGAAAATTTTTGCTAATCTTGGCAAAGATACTTTAGACTAATTGTCTATATTGTGTTTAATCATTTTTGCTTGTGTGAACACTGCAATTAATATTCAGTCTGCTTCAACAATTTTATCTTGATCTGCTTCCAGTTCTAAAGATAAAAATTTCTACATTTTTATATAACGTCAAAACACAACAATTAATCAAAATTTTGTGTTAAATTTGTGGCTAATAGGTAATGTTAATCATCACAATATTAAAAACAATTTCTTTTCTATTATTTATGCTTACTTTTAATGTTTTATTGTCACTAACAGATGTAAATGAAGTATGTATATTTTTCTCTTTGTGCAGTTACTGTAATCTGTAATTTGTTTGCTTGCACACATACACCATGTTAGATTTTGTTATAAAAATTTATGATTACCCTACATGCAAGCTGCTGATGGCAACACCAGCAGTCCTCTGCTGGTGTTGCCAACATTGCTGAAACGAACATGCCGACTGTCCAACAGTGGGACACCAGCAGTAAACACTAGTGGTATGCCACCCGGTGGCATATTGGTGGCTTGTGTGTAGGGTATACAATTGGTATAAACTAACAGGTGTTCAATAAAATATTTCAGGATTTATGAGCTTTTTATTTATGTGAGTTTCAGCTTATATCTATCCTTATTAAAAATATTGATAACTTTTTTGAAAGTGTAAGGTTTTATTATGGAAACAAATGAAAAAAACAAATCATTATAAATAAATCCAAAACAAAGCCCAGAGAAATATATGATTTGCACAATATCTCATATACCTGAATAAATTATTATTTTACCTGCTAATGTGGACTCTTTGACATTCTATAACCTTCATTTATCTTCCATTTTTTGACTTTTGTTAACTTTATTGTTTTAACTGTAAAAGTAATTTTTATTACTTTCCATAGATCTTCTTTCCTTGAATATTGTTTACTGTTCTTATAGACATCTTTTTTAATGATGGATTACAAATATTTTATGAGATTAATATCCAAAGTGACTGAATGCTATTCCATTACTTTGATGTCTTTGAAACAGATTTTTGGCAACATGAGCAATAGTTAACTTTGCAGAATGTGAATATTCTCTTTTGCTTAAAGCTCTTTCATTGTGACCTGTATCATTCAAACATTTTATCTATCAACTTTGAATAATTTTTTATCTTGATAGTATCATCAACTTTGAAGGAAAATAGAATTTTTATAATTTTAGGGGTGCAATACTAGTTCAAAATCTTACTCCACCTCTTTCCAACCCATTGTCTTGTTATAGTTATCTTGGTCAACTGTTTCTGATTTCTAGCCCAGTTATTAGGCAATCCAATGTAGCTCTACATTTATCACTAAAAATTACTGTTGAGAAACCAGTTTTCATTTACTTTTCACCCAACAATGTTTCTCTTTGTTATATTTATTTAAAGGTGGTAATTTTGTTGCTTTCTTATTTGTAAATTTTCTCTGTTTAAATTAGAAGCACTAATTTCTTTGAATATTTTCTTAGTAATAAATTAATTTTTTGTTGCTTATTATTCTTAACTTTTCTCAAAACTTTGTCATTCATAAAACTAATTTTTTCTTGTTCTTGCCAAGTTTTTCAATTTCTTTTTTGAGTGTTCTCTGAGCTCAGTTCAACTTTTCTCTATAATTATTTTATATCTTGTTTCTCTTTTGAGGTTATATCTTCATGACCCATTCTAATCTTGATATATTTAAGATTAAAAATGAATATCACTAATTATACTACTATTTCTTGTTCTTCTGTTTGCCATGTCTCTTCAGGACATTGGTATTCATAGCTCTCCACAACTTTCTGTCTATTGCAGCTCTTAGTAATTTTTTGTTTTTTTCCTATCACTCCAAAACCCTATTCTGACAACCATTTACACAAGCTCATTAGGTAGGTTATGCGCTATTTTCCATAGCCCTTCATGTTTTCAAAATGTCCTGTGAGTATCAAATTTTCTATGCCCTCTTTCCTCATTATGTGTCCTGTAAATTTCAACCATCTCTTTCTAAAGTTAAGTATAAGGGTCATGTTTGTTTCCATTTTTTCTAAAACATTGTCATTGCTCACATGTTCACTCTGTGGTATTCTCAGCATCTTTCTTTAGAACCACATTTCTGATGTTTCAAGTCTTTTCTTCACCTGTGAGTATATTGCCTAGCATACACTGCCATTTTATATATAGTTTTACACTATGGTGACCAACCCTTAATTTGCATAATAAAATCTCACATTACCATCTTATAAGTTATTGTAAATATTTCAAAGAAAATAATGGTATTATAAGCTGAAATTTGCTTGGGACATCTTTCAAACAAATATATCCTGAAAATATTGCCAATGTAGTTTGGTTTTTGTCAATTTTCTTCCGAAAACATTGACTTGCATCATAAAATCAGATATAGTGTAAGTCATTGTTGCTTCTCTGTTTATATCTGCTTCTGATTATAATTAGAATATATTAGTGCTAAAGTTAATGCTTTTGATAATCTTAACTATCACAATATTTTTCAAATATATATTTCTTTGATCTTATGTCTTTGTGTATCACAGATTGTGGATTTTAGTTTACGTTTTTATCATTGCAAATTGAACACTGCTTTCAAAACTGAATCTTTTTGTCTTTCTTCACTGCTTTTTGCTTCAGTAAAATAAATTGATGGTGTAATATAAGTGCATTTTTATATTCATAATTTTCATTTCTCTAAATCAGAGAAAAAAATAAGGCTTACAGCTATATCATATTGAAACACTAGTTCTTGTAAGATCCCCAAAGTTAAGCAATGTGTAATCTGGTTGGTATCGAGATGGGTAACCACTTGGAAATATCAGGTGCTGTAAGCTTGGATGCGTGTGTTGTATAATGGATAACAGCTTCTTTAAGAATATACTTTCCTTCTTGCTATGACATACTAGAAATATATTTTTGGTTTATTTAACAGTTTCTTTTTATTAAAAAGCTCATCAAATATCTCATTTAAAGTTTCTGGAATGTCTGTCTTTGTTTTTGCTTTTTTATAAAAATGGTATACATTGTCATATGTTTATGAAGAAAACTTACATAAGATTTTATTGCTGTCTGTTAAAGATTGAATTTAAGAAGTTCATATTAAAAGTCCTAGTAATTAATGTAATAGCTAGCTGCCTATTTCTGAGTAAATCCATCTGTTAGGACTCTTCTCAAGTACACACAATGTTTAACCTTTGTGCCTACAAAAAACTGTACATCCAAAGTGTGGTTATTCCTTTGACACTGGTTTTACTGTATACACTTTTAATTCTCTTGGCAATTTTTATTATTTTAAAAAAGGGGTGATTAGAAATTTACTAAAACCCAAATATATGAAAAATGATTTGAACATTTTCTTGAGAATTGACAACAAAGATGTTAAATACTATTTATATTGCTTATTTACAACATTATAAAACATATGTGAACTGAATATAATGAAATCTTTATTATTTACCATTTTACAAAGAAATAAATATGAAAAGAAATTTTTTATTTATAAATTTATAAAAATGCCTGAACAAGAAAATTGAAATAAACACATCATGATGAATAACTGTAATAATAAAATGAATTTTCATTTGCTCTGTCCACATAAATTCATTAAAATAGGCTGAGAGCATCTCTTCCACTTACATATTTTGATATGTTGTAATTTTTTATAAAATTTTGAATAAACTGATCTCTTTTCAAATGATAAATGAATCTTTATAAAAGGTAAATATAAAAATATGTGAACCAAGTATAATGAAATATTTATTAATCTTGTAAATAAATATTTATAAGTCAAAAGTGTATACAGTAATATCAGAGTCAAGGGAATAACTGTCCTTTTGATACACCATTTTTTTGCAGGTACAGAAGCTAAACATTGCCCATTTATTTTTTCTGCAATTCCCACAGAGCAACATGAGGTTTATACAGCAATTATGTTGAGGAAATTTTATAGTTTCTGAGAGAAAGCATGTAAGGAATGGCATAATCAGAAGTTGAACAAGGCCACTACTCTCAAACCCTCAGTCATGATGACTTGTGACTTTGTGCTAATACAATCATTGACAGATTTTGAACAGTTTTGTCTGTCCAATTTTATTCACAAAGCTTAGGTCACCTATGCTATGGTTTTCAGCTACTTCCCAACATTTTGGGACCTCCCCACATCAATATTATCAAGAGTTCTCCTTGACAGTTT